TTGAAGGACAGTGACACGCCGTCAATTATCCTCGAGTACAAAATAATTTATGACTTTGGCCCCGCTTATTGCGCGTTAATGCTGAAAGTCATTGCTGATAACGCTAAACGCTATTACTCTTCACTATTTCTCGGATAGTAAAACATACAACATATACTTCTGCGAACAAACTCTGGCAGCAGCGTCACTTGACTTTTACGTCAGTTTTCGGTCAGTCGTTACGCATCAATCATCCTTTTATAATCACGTAATAATAACAGGACTAATTGTAAGTTACAGACCGATGACAACATTTCAAGACGTTAAAAAGACGTGACTTTTTTGGCCTTTTAATGACGTTTTAACCCTCCATCTGTATACGCTTTTTTTTGCACCGTTGGTTGGAGTGTATACGTGAGTTTGTCACGTTCGACGCTATTTTTCCTTACCTTAAAGTATTTAGAAAAATCTGAAAAAATTCACAAAATATCTGTCTACGTTATAGTTGACGATTTTATAGTCGTTTTGACCATCATCGTTTATTTAATATTTTCTGGCAAGTTTTACAATTACAAGCAGATTTCATTTCGGCTCGAATGCCGTAATACAGACGAAAGGTTAATAACGTATAGAGGATTGTGAAAATCAAAATTATATACAAAATTGTAAATCAATAAGAAACGAGATTTTTTATAAAATGTACATATATTTTGTTTTGTGTTTTGCCGATTATAAAAAAATAAAGTTACCATTAATAAAAAAGTGTGCAAATTAGAAACTTGCACATTGCTTCCTCATCATTACAGATCGCTATCATTGCTCCTATTTTATTTCGCTCACAAAGCTCTTCTTATAAGGAAGCTTGTATTTTATTTGATGCATAATTATTAGTATTTATTAGTTTGGCTTCCTCATAGAGGAAGCTTTATGAACGAAATAAAAGAGGAGCAATGGTAACGATCTGTAATGATGAGGAAGCAATGTGCAAGTTTCTAATTTGCACACGTTTTTTAATTTTAATTTAATCTTTTTATGAATTGATAGAGGGCCAGCTTAGTAGCACAAGTGCGGTTTTACAATCGACGCAATGTCAAATCAATGTTGACTTTGGGAGTTCAGGCTACATGGTCTATATATGGACTTCGCATATGAACTTTTGATCGCGTATAAAGTTGTATCTAATCAACCAATCTTAAAGAATTATATATGAAATAGGGGTAGAAAAGACTGAAAAATATAATAGAATTAGCAATAACCTGATATATCAAAATTTGCGAATCTGTCTCCAGAAATCGGTAATCTCTTCATCGATTCTCGCCAAATTCAAAACAACCTTTCTTTAAATGATACTTGATTACATATATAACTTATACACTTTTTAGTAAAAAATCGGTAACCCCTTATTCACCGATCTTTGCCAAATTCAATACCAACTTACCTTTAATGATGCTTTATTCATAAAATTTGCGGAAATTAGAGCAATCACGCAAATTTTTTTATACAGAAATTGGTAACTCTTTTATTATTAACAATTTTTCTAATTCTATTACATTCTTCAGTTTTTTCTACCTCTATTTCATATATCATTCTTTAAGATTTGGTTGATTTGTTCTTGAGTTGTAGAAATTTCAGTAAAAAGCGTACACACACACACACACACACACACACACACACGGACATTTTTTAAATGCGATTTTTTGACGTTTTAGAACATTCTGAATACATTGGCATCGAAAACTAAAAAAAAAAAACAATTTTTTCTCTGGTCTTTTCTACCCCTATTTCATATATAATTCTTTAAGATTTGGTTCATTAGACCTAGCTTTATACGTGATCAAAGGTCCATACACGAGGTTTATGAAAACAAAGCTTCCTCTATGAGGAAGCAATAAGACATTATAATAAGATTAATTACATTAATGTTACATCAATCCAAAAGTGTGCTACACTTTATTATAAAAATAGACTTCACGATACACCTAATACTAGTTGTGCAATTCCGTCATTTATATATCGTTCTTGTATCACCATTTGTCATATTTTAAATGACAAAAAATGGATCTCATTAGATGCCATCTGTCAGATGACCGACATTTGCATATTCTTTTAATTTGAAAATGACCTATTTGAAACGTATTATAAACATTTTTAAATTGATGTTATTACGTTATAATACTTACGTATCTTAAACGTCAGTTAGTTAGAGTGCATGACGTCTAGGACCGGTAATTACTACTTATCAACGTGAAAATCACATGACGTTGCTGTCTGGAAACTATAATGACAGCTACATTAGGAAAGTACTCTCGCGTTTCTTTTCTCGTGCAAATCATATTGCTACGCAATCATGGAGAAGAGACGTTTATCGCGAGATCATTTTGCGCAGGAGGGCTTAGAGAACTCGCGCGTCGCAGGTACGCGGTTTATCCCTCTATGATGAAATCGTCCCGCTAAAGCGATCCTGACAACAATACAGCTTCGCGCGAATAATGGTGGCGGGACGCGTCTTTTCCTGTTTATTTTGACGGCAGCTGGCGGCGCGGCGAGTATTTTTAGCGTTTCTCGTTGAAATCGAGCACGTCGACTCGACAACATTCCGTTACGCCCGTTCCAATACGGCGATTAGCGAAACCGAGGAAGCAAGCCGCGGTTTAATGCACCGGTTTGACTGCTGCACGTTGACGCAGCCGCGTGCCAGACGTGACTTGGCACTGGAGAACACATTCGCAATCGCAAAAATCACACCTTACTGATTTCTCAGTTTTGATTTTTACACGGATTAACGCGAATGCAATTTCCATCAGCTAATCTACGATTTCATTTGATACCGCGATATAATTACAAAAAGAACCTCGTCCATTTTATTAAGGAGTTTTGGACCATGAACGCACTTGACTTCTATATATGCATTTGTAGAGGAGGTTGATACAAATAATAATAACATAGTCATAAGTTTCAAAAACGTGGGAAAAGATATTTCCTCGGGCGTGAATTCGCATATTACCATATATAGGTACGATATTAGCTAATTGGCACTTTACACTATTTAACTTATTAGTTATTTGTGTAACAAGTGAGGTAAGATGAAAATTCCCGGGTGCGGTTACCGCACGTACGTAAACTCCGCTTACACTCCCTATTTTATGTTGCAAGTGCCTGGAAAGTGGTCTATCACGCACGCGTAGCGTGCGTAATGGGGCACTTTCCATGCACGTGTTGCATAAACTTATTGGTTTGTTCAACTAAGGGCCGGTTGTTTCAACTTGTTGGTAAGCTAACAGCTAACTAATAGTTAAATCATATATATATATATATATATATATATATATATCTTTGTCTTTCCTTCAAATTAAACAAAGATAGACATATGATTTAACTACAGGTAGTTTAGGGGTTTAGGTTTTACCTGTTACAGGTTGGAACAACCGGCCTAAGTCAGGCCTGTGCGGCCGGTTACACTCTTCGGCCAAAAGAAAAAAAAACACTCAAACGCAAGAATCAAGCTATCATCAGAGCATATTGAAGATATTTTCATGTCATTTTCTGACAATTACAGCGGTGAAGGTAATAATGAATAGGTATAATTAAGACTGGTAATTAAACCAGTTGTAACTTCTCGTTCACCGTCCCAGAACTTAAACTTATTTTTCTAATAATGTACGCAACAATACCTACAAAATAAAATTTGGTTTTAACATAAATTTTTTTTATTAAGCGGTCTGATAGATCATGGCATACTTTCTTTGTAAACTTTTTGAATTTTTGCAATATCTTCAAAATTGAAGAAAATATAGTACACGAAAATGTGCTGTGACGTCATACCTTATATGCGAAATCTTTTGAAGTTGCCGTCATCAAAGAAACTTTAGCAAGCTATAACTTTCTCAAATTTAAGTTTTTTTTTTTTTAAGTCAAAAAGTACTAAAAATCGGCTTAGATTTTCTACATTAATTATGGATACCGCTTAATAAAAAAAATTTATGTTAAAACCGAATTCAGAAAAAAATATGTTATATTATGTTATATTAGAGGAGAAGGTGGTAATATGGAACCCCTTCAATATCTCAAGAACACTTACAATTAGCTGTACTTTAAAGGTGACAGTTAGAACTTGTTTATTAGGTTGCCCTCTAGAGTTCTGGACGATAAGAGTGCTAGATTTATTAATTCTTTAATGGCGGTAGATTAATTAACCTATTTCTCTTTTGTTGATTTTCAAACCTATGAAAAGTATATATGTAAAACTTTGTTTAGGTAATTGTAACTGTTTATGATTAACAGGTAATTTTTAGAGCCAGACGCTGTATAATGTATATTAATATAATATTATCTAACGTTTCCACGTGGTGTTTAAGAATATTTAGTCCTTTTGCTGTAGCCGCTATTATTTTTCAAGATGGCAGTGTTTCTATTGTGGACCTCTAAGGTGCTGGGGTCAATGTCTGTGGATTTATTGCAGTCTCTGAACTCACAATGAGTGTGCAGAAGCAGAGAAAGAAGAATACGTGTGATTTTTGCCGATAGACGAAAGAAAATAAATTTTCTCTTTCAATTATTTTTTTAATATATTTTTTTTTTTTTAACAATATTTTTTTATGTATTTTTTTCACAATAATTTTTTTAATGGATTATTTTTTTGAAAGGCATTCAACGTTTTGTGAATTTTTAAAATTTTTAACACTCAAAAAATAGTGGAGTTTATATTACCAGCACATTATAACTTATGACTCACTTCATCTTGAAATTTCTTAAAGTTGCTCAAGACTTGCAGACAAATGACTTTGACGCACGATGGACATGAATTCTTTAATTTTGCAGTTTCGCGGTTTCGACACAATACAGACACGATATTACGATAGTCAAATCCACGTGAGTGTTTTTTCTTTCAAACTTACAATTAGCAAGCTGTCAGTGACAGCTCGTACAGCAGTTATTGACCCAGATCATTACAGTTAACATAGTATAGAATCTCTGTTGCGTTATTAATCTGTTCCGTCACGGTGTGGTTTCCTCTGTTGCAGTGTGCCAAAGTATAGACATAAGAAATAGCGTGAGTCAATTCTCAAAACTGGAGGGATGCCGGGTGGTCGAGGGCTTCGTACAAATTCTCTTGATCGATCGAGCGGAGCAATCGGCCTACACCAATCTCAGCTTCCCCGATCTGGTCGAGATCACTGGATACCTTCTTTTATACAGGTACAATTATTTGCAACTATATCAAGTATAGCTTCAAGAGGGTATTCTGGTTTGAAAGGTCATAAAAAGAAGATATTTTTCAGGAATTTTTGTAGAGAAAGGGAAAAAAACGAATAACGTTCAACTTTGCATGTTTTTTAAGCCTTATTTTAAGAATATGTTTTTATTTTCTAAATAACAAAAACGCTCTTTTTTTTTATGGTATATCCTGGTCACTAGGAGCTCGCAAAAGAAACGTGTATGGACGGTGTTAAGCCGGGATTACGATGAATTTAACGTAACGGGACGCGACGGGACGCGAAGTAACGTAACGTGAACTTAAGAAATTACGATCGCCGTAACGTGAAGCAGCGTGCATTTGAAAAATGATTTGACAGCGTGGTGTGAATAGAAGGTTTGTTGTCATTCTCGTTGGTAGTTCATGCTTGGTAATTCCAAAAATGAATTCTGCTATGAGGCATTATCAGCTTTTTAACTTAATTTTGGCCGGATATTTGTATCTTCAACTGCGGAAGAAGAAATGAGTATGAACCGTTGGTGTGAGAGATTTTTCGAAGAAGAACCCAGTTTGGTGATGGACATAATTTACTTGAAGAACTCCGTTTCCGTGATTCACCCTTTTTTTTATTTACACAAGGATGAATGTCGAAAGGTAAGATTTAATGATTGTCTAGTACAAAATATAATCATTTTTACAAATTAATGTCTGCTTTCCTACATTCTGGTACCTCTTGATCTTGCTTGGTCTACTGATAAAAAAGCGCTTAGATAAATATTTTTCTGGCACAAAGTTTATTTTTACAAATTATATGTTCGCTTTCTTAGATTCGAGTATCTCCTGAGCTTGGTTGGTCCACTGATAAAGAAGCGAGAAATGTACACTGCTCTTTTACCCACTCAGAGGCTTGCTATGACATTGAGGTAAGATCATCAATGTTCGCTTATCTTGTTAATTAAGTCTCAGAAGTCGATTCAATTTGTAAATTTGCTTTGCAGATTCTTGGCAGCAGGAGACAGTCAGTATACTCTGAGCTTTTCCTATCGATGTGGCCAGAGCACTGTCTCTCAGATCCTGGCCGAATGCTCTGGCCACATCGATAGGAAAAGCTCAGAGTATACTGACTGTCTCCTGCTGCCAAGAATCTGCAAAGCAAATTTACAAATTGAATCGACACCTGAGACTTAATTAATAAGATAAGCGAACATTGATGATCTTACCTCAATGTCATAGCAAGCCTCTGAGTGGGTAAAAGAGCAGTGTACATTTCTCGCTTCTTTATCAGTGGACCAACCAAGCTCAGGAGATACTCGAATCTAAGAAAGCGAACATATAATTTGTAAAAATAAACTCTGTGCCCGAAAAATATTTATCTAAGCGCTTTTTTATCAGTAGACCAAGCAAGATTAAGAGGTACCAGAATGTAGGAAAGCAGACATTAATTTGTAAAAATGATTATATTTTGTACTAGACAATCATTAAATCTTACCTTTCGACATTCATCCTTGTGTAAATAAAAAAAAGGGTGGATCACGGAAACGGAGTTCTTCAAGTAAATTATGTCCATCACCAAACTGGGTTCTTCTCCGAAAAATCTCTCACACCAACGGTTCGTACTCATTTCTTCTTCCGCAGTTGAAGATACAAATATCCGGCCAAAATTAAGTTAAAAAGCTGATAATGCCTCATAGCAGAATTCATTTTTGGAATTACCAAGCAGGAACTACCAACGAGAATGACAACAAACCTTCTATTCACACCACGCTATCAAATCATTTTTCAAATGCACGCTGCTTCACGTTACGGCGATCGTAATTTCTTAAGTTCACGTTACGTTACTTCGCGTCCCGTCGCGTCCCGTCGCGTCCCGTTACGTTAAATTCATCGTAATCCCGGCTTTATGCTCTAAACGTGTATGCTCTAGGTATCTGAAACGCAAAAACTAAAATTTTTCTTATTTAAGAGAAGTGTGGATATCGTCTGTGTGTGAACTAGAATAAACATATTATACGTTTATTAGTTTTTTCTTTTAATAAAATACTAATAAAATTTTAAGGAAAAACTATACTATGTATTTTAAAGAGGTCGCCATTTTGTCTAGAATGGAAATATTGGTTTAGTTCTAGTTCAGACGATAGAGACACACTTCTCTTGAATAAAAAAATTTTGGTTTTTTGCGTTTCAGATACCTAGGAAAGCTATAGAATCATTTACACCGTGTGTCTATATACGTGTTTCTCTTGCAAATTTCTAATGACTAGGATATAACATAAAAGAGAAGAGCGTTTTTGTTAGAAAATAAAAATATATCCTTAAAATGTATGGTTAAAAGAACATGCAAAGTTTAACGTTATTCATTTTTTTTTGTTTCTTTAGAAAAAATTCCTGAAAAATACCTTTTTTTTATGACTTTTTAAACCAGAATACCTTCTTAAAGAGTTCTTTCATTAGCGGTGTCTATTTGTGACGGTTATTCGCATACTTTAGCCTCGCATTTATTCGTTCGTGTTTCCAGGGTAAGCGGACTTAGGACCGTCGGCCATCTGTTTCCAAATCTGACGGTTATCCGCGGTCACTCTCTCTTTATCAATCACGCCCTCGTGGCATTCGAGATGATGCATCTTCAGGAAATCGGTCTCCACTCTCTGACCGACATTCTACGTGGATCCGTGCGATTCGAGAAGAACCCGACGCTCTGCTACGTCGACACTATCGACTGGGACGTCATCGCCAAAACTGGCAAGGGAGAGCACTTCATAAAGGTGAGTATCTTCGCTTTACTCTTTTTTTTATCTCGGCGCAACATTTATAAATAGGAACGACAGGTTATTATTAGAAAGATTTGATGACCAAGATAAGTAAGTTTATCCAAGACTCGAACCTACGCGCTGCCGACAATCCTATATACATTTAATCGGCGTCATTCAGAGAGCAATTTGCATCGACATCAAAATAATATGGTCGTTTATCGATAGTCGTCCCGATGTTTTCGAAAAGATTGCGCGAACTTCTGTAGTCACAAATATTTGGGTCAAATGGGAGCATTATAACGCGCGCGCGACTCGTCACGCTTCGCGGCGTCTTTCCTATCAATGAATTGTTAAGAGAGACAAGAAATTTAAAGCAGAAGCGGTTGGAAATTACTTCATTCACTTTACAATGAATGCATGTTGTGCCGTAATGCACCGTGTGGAAACTTGTATAACGAAGCCGTGAGAAGTGACGGCGTAGCAGTGACACGATGCTTTACTATAAATACGATATATGCCTTCTGAAGCAATCAAATCGCTTTAGCATCGTGTAAGTAAAGCCATGCTATGACTACGTATCTACAATCGTATCTACAATAATATACGAATAATAATATACGATTATTCATGATAAATATCTATGATGATAGAACTATTTGTGCGTAAATTTCCCTTTTTACTTGAATGATCAATCAACTTTCGCTTTCTTCTTTATATAGGGGAGACCAGAGCACTATAAGCCACAAAAATTCAAATTCTGAAAAGTACTTTTAACCCTCCGTAGTCACACCGGGTCAATTTGACCCGAGTCTCAACTTTGCTCGTAAATATCTTGCGCGTAACTTGAAAATTGGCGGGCATGACGCCCTCTAGCTGTAGTTAAAAAAAAATTTTTTTTTAAACAAATTTTTTGCGAAATTTTTTTATATGTTAAAAATTTCTGAGGCCCTTCTTTTTTTATAGCAATCAATTTAGCAATATCGCAAGTGCATTCGAGAATTTTTTCAACACGATCGGTAGATAAATGGTCAAATGGCGAACGGTCAAAGTTCGTCTCGGCTCAAAATGACCCAGAGTGACTTTCTTGTTTGAAAAAATACGTGTGACTACGGAGGGTTAAATATAAAATTTTTTGTTTCGTTTTTTTTTTTGTAATTAAAACACTATGTAGATATATTTTAAAATTTATTTAGTGTATTTGGCAAATATTGATTAGTTTTTGAGAAAAAAATTTAAAACACATTTTTTGAAAAATAACCCAAGGTGCCCCATACTCGGGGCACCATGAATCTGTCACTGGAGCACTATGAGTCACACACAAAAAATAGGTTTGTTTATTCAAGAAATAACGAAAAGTTACAAAAGTTGAAAATAAATTTTATTTTACACGTTTTCTTATGACACTGTTCAGGATTGGGCAGGACAAACAACGATATCAGAACCCACTACTGAAATATATATATATATTTTTTTAGACAAACTAACTTTTGACATATGTTTTCTTCAATTAAAAATAACATATGTATATCATCAACCTATTTATTTATTATCAACCTTGGTGGTGTGTGTGACCCAGGGTGCCGCAGCATTGGGTGTCCCATGGTGCCCCGAATGCACTTAACATAGAAAACGGTGAAACGTAATAAAAAAAAAAAATAAATGATACATGATTATCTGTAGTGTAGTAAAATGACAAAAAATGCTAGAAAGTTACACCTAATTTTTAATACGTGTATATTTTACTACAAAAACAATATTAAAACATTTCTAAATGGTTAAAAAGTTATTTACGCATCACGAAAACCATTTATGTCACGTGCGTCTCGAGAGACTTTGATGACTGTCACCTATATAGATACGAAGTATGGGCAACGAAATAACTGTCACATGATGTTAGTTGAATCAACCTAAACATTCTGGATTACCCTAAACAGTCAATGACCCATGCTCATGGTGCCCCGGTCTCCCCTACTCGTATAAGTAGTATCGGAATATCTCGTGAAAAGCGTATCGTTACGAGAAACGGCAACAGTATTGATCATCGAATACGAGCCTTTCGCAATGTGTTTTTCGACCTTCGTATCGGCTCAATGTAGTATATAGTCTTGACTTTCTTATACGATAGTTCCGCACGGTAGCGAAAGAATTTCCTACGTCCTGCTAAAAAAATTTAACGCGCCTATTTCTCCTTCTCCAAGTATATACAGATTTCATTTTGTTGACTCGGATGGCATTCGAAAAGATAAGATACGTAAATATAGATTAAGATCAATTATACGAAGAGATAATGGCAATAAGGTGACCGGATTAGATTCTGACAATACATATATCTATACCTATGTAAAAGGTGTCGAATTAGAAATGCTAATGTATTTTTATTACTTCAACGTGCTGGCATGCTTCTCGCGTTGATTTAAATAGCGGCAAGCATTTTTGTTTTTATAAATTATCATGTTTGAAAACTCACGATAGCATAAGAAAAATGTTGAGGTCGTTGGAAATAAATGTTACAAAAAGGCAAAATTTCGAGAGAAATTACATGAAAAAACGCAAATTAATAGAATTGTGTTATAATGCATTCTCATTTTATTTATAGGATAACAAGCCAACGAATGGTTGTCCGGTATGCGACAAAAAATGCCCGGCAAAGCAGACGAAACCCGATCAGACTCTGTGCTGGAATCGACAACACTGCCAACAAAGTAAGCTATTACGACGATCGATTATATTGGCGATTATATTATACATATAGAGACCTTTCGCTGAGTCCTGAGCTGGATTCCCGTAAAATTGTCACGAGCGACGAGTTAAACGGTTTTTGAATTTTTTATTTGAATTTATTTAAAGGATTTTGTTCAACTGCTTATTCCACACATCGTAGAAATTTTACAGTTATTATTATTATTATTATTATTATTATTATTATTATTATTATTATT